TACGTAGCCGATGAACCACAAGCAGAAAGCAGGAGAGATCCATTCTCTGGCATGCATTCCACAGTCAATCCATATGGCATTTTTGGCTGTTTGTTCTTTTCCAGAAACCTGCTCAAAGAAACCAAAAAAAAAAAAAATGTAAGCTTCAGTATGATAACTTTCATCTCTATAGTGATAATAGTTAATTTTCAAGGGAAATTTAAAAGCCAGAGAGATTAAGAGATGCTAGCTAGTGGTCACAGTAATGACACCAAATCAGGTCTGGGGATTGAAACTCAAACTCTTGATTTAAAGCAAATTTTATCCCCCTGGCCTCCCATTACCTAGCAGAGCTGCATGTGGAAGTGTGGAAGCAGAGGACAGAGAAAGAGCAACTTGGGGCCATATCTTCAAGCTTCCTTAGAGGTCAGGGAGGGTGTTGGGTGGGCTGCCTTTGGCAGGAGGCATGAAGCCTCACCCAAGAAAGAAACTCCCTCACCATTGTCCCTAGAGGGCACACTTTCCACATGTAAACTATTTCTCCATTTCACACAGGAAGACGCACACATCTATCTTCACCTAAGCTGATACCAACAGGTCAAGGGACAGCAGCTTTGTTCTGATAGCACGGCAGATGGGCACAAGCTACGAACTCTCTGGAATTAGAATTCTCAACCTTTTCTCAAGGATGTCTTCAGAAGAGTTCTCAACAACACCTCCCAAATTAATCATAATTTATTCGATTTGAAAAAATAATTACAATATAAAATTTGGGGGGTATGGAGTGAAAGGAAAAGAGTGTTGTAAAAATCTAACAAAGATGTAGACTTATAATTTCAGAAAAAGAAAATAAGAGTTAAATGTTCCCATCTGGAGCACTCCAGGAGGGTTTTTTTTTGTAACCTGCAACTACAGTAGCCAATGAGAAAGTAAAATGGCCACTAAAGGTTAAAACATATAGTCAAACAGAATTACCCAGCTAATTCAATCTGTGTACTGTCAAGAAAATCCAGAAATACCCAGATTAGTTGCCTTACTTGATCTTTCTATCTTCATTGGAAATATGGAGGAACCCTACAGACTCACATTGTGTAAAATCCTTGGTCAAGTAAGAGGAGGACTAAAGACCCTGGATGTATGCCTTTCCAACTTGTTTTTTTTTTTTTTTTGGGGGGGGGAGGTTCCAGACATTCAGATTCCAAGAAGTACACGCAACATGGCTGAAATAAGCATCATTGATGGATATGCATATGATTATGTGGATCTAATCTGATTGACTGGCTTCACCACTAAAAGGACTCAACATTGCACAGATCTGCCTTAAGTTTGCACTGTAAGCTCTTTTCAGAGACAGATTGCAATCCAGAAATTCTAACACAAAGTCTTATCTTCTTTGGATAATTGAAGAGGCTCACCAATCTCTATTGTGGGTAAATTTGATATTACTAAAGCAAATGTACTTTTCCAGTGATCATATTTTTTTTCAGAGTCTCTTTAATTTTTTTTAAGGGAGAGAGTGGTAGAAGACAGAAATGCAGAGTTAAAAACTGTATGAGTCAGGTATTATTATGGTCATAGCTCCTAAAATTCCCCCAGTGGCTACATTCACTGACCTTTACTAAAACCAATTTATTCAAGAGAGAAAACGCCTGATCTGTGGTGGTGCGATGGGTCAATTATATTATCTCCCGTGAGATTTTGCAACTAAAAATAACCAAATGGAGGGTGAATGGAGTGTAAAACTTCACGTTCATTAGAATGGATCATCATTTTATCATTGTCCTGGTTCCTATCTTTCCCTGCATTTGGTTGTTCAGCTCTTACTTTTGTTTAAAAAGTTGGAATAATGTTTGTGCAATAACAGAATTCACTCTGCTCACTCTCTTTTCTTCTGTGTCTGTTTTTCTCAGACCGTGGCAGTCAGTATGAGGTGGCAGTGGCATATATAAAATCAAGACTTGAAAAATAATCTAGGCCACTTCCTTCACTGTATGAAGGTGGGTGACGAATCCCATGTTAAGTTAAAGAGCTTACTAACATCACACAAACACATAACTTATTCTAGAACTGGGGTTTTCCCTCTTACATCATTAAGACATCATTAAAGGAAAAGATTTAATGGTAATAACAAACTCCTATTTAGGAGTTTAGATATTAGAGCTAGGAACAATTGAGATACAAATATTTCTAGAATGCAAAGAAAAAAGGATCCTAGTTATAACAAACACTGCCAGAGAACTCATCCCCCCTTCGAGTTGAAAGATCAGTGACTTTTCTTACAACATACCTTTAAAACATACAGTGGGTACTTCTCATATGAGGATCCAATGTGGATTTTTTTAAGCATCTTAGGATGCCGCTCAGTTATAACTTCTATCCAAGAATAGATCTGTTCAAGCAGAAGCCACAGGTTAGTCACAGGGCAAGTTTAAAGTATTTCCTGACCAAAGGACAAAGACAACTTCTTCAGAGAAAGGAGATTCCTCTAAAACTTTTGTATATGGAAGAAACGGGGAACTAAAACACTTGGAATGAGATGTTTCTTCTTCTATTTAGAAAAATTAATACAATTAAAGTTTTGATCAATGCTGAGTTTAGAGAAAGAGTAAAAAAGTACTGAGAAATGAATGGCAACATAGGAAAAGTTAATCTGTATTGTACAACCTCTAAAAGTTACCTTTATAGGCTCATCATGTTGAGTCCCTGCCTCTGTGTATGAGACCCTCTTGCCATTCACTCAAGAGTTCATGTATACATAAGACTTAAAATAAATAAATTTGCTCTTCCAGGTGAAGGGAGCCTGAGGCACTGTGTTTACCCAGCACAAATAGCAGTATCACCGTTTCCCACTGAACCACATAAGCACAGTGAGGTTGGTGGACTGGCAAGAGGCAAAGATGAGGAGAGTGTGGAGAAAAACAACTTTCCTTCTGGAGAAGTCATTTGATTCGGGACCTCCCACCCAGGCAGTAGTACGCCTGTATTTAAGTTTTTGTCAAGATCATCGTTGGAGGAAAAAAAAAAATAAATTCTAGAGCTGCTCCTTGGTTTTGTCTCTTGGAATTTTTCTAGAGAGGATTTCAAGCAGCAATCCTACTTGATGAGAACTGGAGCCACTGACTTTCCATAAGTGGAATGTGTGAGTGACTGTCCCCAAGCTGAGAATGAAAAGGCCCCTGGAAGCCCTGCCTGCTGCCACATACCAACACTCTCAGTGTCTGGGGTGTCCAAAATTAAACCAGCAAGGATGTCTTCATTGGAATTCCACTTCCTACATTACTCTTCTAGGTATGAATACACCTAAGAGGACTACTACCTGATATTCACTTATACTATAGCTTTGATAGCTCAGTGAAATTCTTCCAATAGGGGAGGCTGCATTGTATAAAGTCAACTTTACTGGCAAATGTAACTCATTTCACATTCTAACCTGGGATAATGAAGGAAACAGTCTTTGATGAACTCTTTACTCTTGTCATTTGCTTTAAGAAGTATTTTTTGGCTATTAAATATTGATGCTTCTCACTCCAGTGAATCACTTACACTTTTCTGGTGTGACCAAAGAAATCTTCCCGCCCATCAGATCATCTTGTGAGTAGGGCTGATGAAAAGATCACCGTGGAAAGGGAAAGAAAGACTCAGAGGAATTACCTAAGAGCAAGATCACCATGGTTCCTATAAAAGGATTAGAAGTATGTGGAGACAGGAGAGAAGTCCCAAACATTGTCTGCAATGTCATGGGGATGGATTGATGGTGTCCTTCAAATTCATGTTAAAGTCCTAACCTTGGTACCTTGGAAAGTGATTGAATTTGGAGATAGGATTACGTTAAAGTGAGACCCTTAGAGTGAGCTCTAATCCAATCTGATCGGTGTCCTTAGAAGAAGAGGAGATAAGGACAGAAAGAGTCGCCAGGGATGTAGATACATAGAGAAGTAGCTGTCTGCACACAAGGAGAGAGGCCTCAGCAGAAACCAGGCCTGACAGCGTCCTGGTCTGGGACTTCCAGCCTCCAGAACAGTGAGCAAATACATTTCCATTGTTCAAATCACACTGTGTATCTTGTCCAGGAATCCCTAGACGATGAACACAGTTGTATACTTAGTATCTCTTTTCATGTCATTCCAACTCTTTCTTCAGGAGATGGAAACATAACTTTTTAAAATAAAATAATTAAAAATATATTTTTGGAAGTATTTGAAAATGCTTCTGTTTAAGGCAGCCTCTTTTCCCATGACACTCAGCACAACAGTGACCCTTTCACCTTCTGCATTTTGAAAACCATGTCTTTCTAGCCTCTCTGCTTCAAGTTTGTTATGTACTGCTGGTGACAGGCCAGAGGGAAGTGGCCTACGTGGAATAGTACAGAGTACGAGAGGTAAAGGAGCAGATGCAATTTTAAGATCCCCATCCATCAGCCAGGCATATGGATTCTGGAAGCAGACTGAATTCTGGTTTAACTAACTGGAAAGCAGCAGATGTACTTAAAGATTAAATATAAAATTGATTTTTATTACCCAAGTCTTAGACGTCTTAAAAACATGGATGTGATCCCTAAAAGTTTCTGGGCACCTAGTCAAAAAAAATGATTTAAAAAAACAACCAAACCTATATTAGGCAATATAGCAGTATGCTCCTAAGAAAGACCAAGAGTGATCAAGGTGTTTTATTATAGTGTATAAAAAAGAAAATTCTTTGAGGTATTTACTCTTTAACTAACAAATATGGATAAAGGACTCTTAATGCACTATGGGAAAGCAGCTGAGGGAAGTGAACGTGAGAAACAGTTTCAGATTTCCTCTAGAAAGACTGGAGCCTGGAAGTACTAATAGAACAGAAATCCAGTTTCTTAAAGGTTAAAACACAGGAAAATTGTATGATTATGATTATTACAGTTAGTTTAAACAGTTTCCTCAGGGGGATAAAATACATTTATTTATACTGTATTAACTATAAACGAATATATTGCTTTCATCAGTGAGGTAATCTGGCAAGTATTCTGGTGATTTTTTTTTTTTGTGGCTGTTTCAATCAAAAGGTTCTATGCTTTATTTTCCATTGTTCTTTAGCCATGGTATTTCTAGGAGCTAAAAATACTTTTAACTGTGGACCAACATCTTATCAAGAGGCCGTTTACCAAATAGGTTGCAATCTTCCCAGGAAGACATCTCAAAACAATGAGTTACCATCATATAATGAACCTTAAGTGTGCTTTTCTTTTCTTTTAACTTCTTCCACCAATTCTGATTTGCTGATAGTTGCTAGCAATGCAGGTTAAATGAAAACAGGAACATTGGAGAGTGAGTGCAGCCATGACTTACTTCATTGAGTGAGTGATACTGTTCATAGTATGAGGAGGAGGTTCGGGGGCTGACTGTGTCATTGGAAGTCTGCTGTCGAATAAGATCTTCCACATCCACCATCAAGATGCTAGGTGAGGAAACACAGGGTGAGCTGGTTGTCAACAGAACACTGACCTTCCGACTTGGCCCTCTGCAGGCACGGTAGGTGAGTATGGGGAGAGATTGCTAAGGAATCTAATGAACAGTTCATGGGGTATAAAATACCCCCATCTGCCATTCACAGACACTTTCAGCAGAGCCTGCGTGAGCACTGGAAAGAAAGCAGCTTCTATAATTGCATAGTTTCAGGACCTCCAAAACCTCACCTTTTCCCACCAATTTCTTTCTTCCTTCTTTCTTTCTTTCTTTCTTTCTTTCTTTCTTTCTTTCTTTCTTTCTTTCTTTCTTTCTTTCTTTCTTTCTTTCTTTCTTTCTCTCTCTCTCTCTCTCTCTCTCTCTCTCTCT